TTTTTACCAAATGCCTCTTTCTACCCAAGATCTATGTATATTTAAACAAATTTTTAGTGCAAAACATTTTTTAAAAAATAATGCACAAGAAATATTTATTCTTTTGACTCAATGTGAAATTTTGGATTTATAAATTTTCAAAATTTGATCTCATGAAAAAAGTACCTAAAAGTACATAAAAGTTTTTCATTATGAAGATAACTAGGCGATATATTGTTTACAATTTTTTCTCAGCCTTCCAATGAGATAAACATTCAAAATGTTCGACTTTTTTTATAAAAACAAAGTACATTTTTATAAACAAATATTTTTTTCTAGTTTTATTAAACTTTTTTGTATACCTAATATGGCTATATTGTCACTAATTTATAAATTTCGTAGTAGAAGGTATTAAATAGTGATTTTTACTTATTTTCGAAGCTTTTTCTCTCGCGTTTGCGGCTAGCGCAGTGAGCTTTTTTTGTTTTTGCATAACTATATTTTAATTTTTTATGTAAACATATTATACATTTTTATTATTTATTTTCATTATTTTATTTATTATTTTTTTTTTTCTTATTAATTTTTTATCACAACAATATTTTAACTTTTGCCCTATTATATATTTTTGGTCGTCTTTTTACAATATTTATAAAAATATCAAAATTATGTAAGCTATTATTTGATTTATGACTACATTCACAAATACAATGTTTGTCAATATTTTATTCTGGGTATTCTTGCGAACACGCTGATAAGTGCAAGCATGTACAGTAACATTTCCGATTCAGTCTCGTTTTGCACACACGTCGGTTCGGTTGTCGCTCTGATCGAATTTAAAAGCGAATAAAATAGTTAAAAGTGAAATAAAATAAATATTTTTTTACTATCTTTGGGTAAAATATTTAAGAAAGTTATTTTCGTGCAAAGGAAATTGTGAGCGCACATGTCTAGTGAAAAACAACAAAAAATAAATACAATATTATTCAAAAATAAATAATCAATAAATATGTGGTATTGATTGTGAAGTGACAGCATAGTAATACATTACAACAAAAATAAATATATAGAGATCACAAATCATCACAAACGCAGATAAACTACAAAATGTTATCACTACGGAATTTTGTGCGCGGTAAGTTTCGGATTACTTGTCGAACCGACATGCATTGTTCCTTGCTCAATAAGTCACGTAATACATAAACACATATTTATACTTATTACATACATTTACTTGCTACATACATCTGTATATATATCTGTATAAATATCTGTACATATGTATGTAGCAAGTAAATGTATGTATGTTCAGATTAAACCGAAGTTTTCGGCCGTTTGATCAAAACGGCACAACAAAACGTTTGCATAAGAAGAGAAGAACTGTCAAAATGACAGAAATAAATGTAAACAAGAAAGTCATAGAACAAATTTTAAAAGTAATTATTACTTAGATAATTATTTTATTTACCTAAAATTAATTTTTTGATAAAACATCGGTAATAATATTCACTTTTATATATTATATATGGCTAAGTTCGGGTATAACTGAAAATTTTATATTCCCGCAACTTGCAAGGATCAAAACGGGGGAAAATATTTTTTCGAATTTCACTAATATACATATGTACATAACTAACAGGTTGACCGATATTTTCGGTAAAAAATTAGAGATTAGAACCGGGTATCTGGGGTTTGAATGGAGATTTATCTGGATATATTATATGCTTCGGGATTTATATACTGTAAGAATCATATATAATTTAAAATTGTGCTGTATAGGAAATAGATGTGGTAGCCCGATTTCGCCCATTTTAATACTGTAATATACAATAGGAAATCCAGGAAAGGCCAGGTAGAGAAGGACCTGGCTTCGCTTGGAATATCCAATTAGCGCCAAATTAAAAAAAGCAGAAACGACAGGCACGCTGTTGTTAACGACAGTAAAGAACAAGGAGAAGAATATAGGAGTATCAGAAGAATCTTAAGAATCTTACATACCGATAGAGTAAGTCTCGAAATATGTGATTTCACCTGAAAGAGCGTAATGCCACGCCCATCATAAAATGTTGACCAAGACTCCCTAAAAGCTCTCTCAAATCATATCGGGGGCTAAAATTTAATGATTTTAACTATATGGGGAGTGAGCGTGATTATCTTCCGATTTCATCTATTTTCACACTATCGGTGGGAGTTCTTATAACAATTGCTCTAGGCAAATTTGGTTGTTGTACCTCTTCAATTTTTATACTTTTGCAACAAACTATAGTATTATAGTTTTGTTCACACAACGGTTGTTTGTAAGTCCTAAAACTAAAAGAGTCGGATATAGGGTTCTATATACCAAAGTGATCACGGTGACGAGTAGAGTTGAAATCCGGATGTTTGTCTGTCCGGCTGTCCGTCCATCAGTGCAAGCTGTAACTTGAATAAAAATTGAGATATCATGATGAAACTTGGTACACGTATTTCTTGGCTCCATAAGAAGGTTAAGTTCGAAGATGGGCAAAATCGGCCCACTGCCACGTC